CTTATTTACAAATATGTTTATTTATTATGTACTAATAGTGGCATGTTTAAATACATGTCACTTATATTCAACTTTTGACAAATAAATATTGGTACATATGACCAAATTTTATTGGTTAGATTTTTCAGATATATATTCCATAATATTAGATAGTTAACTTGAGAATTTTATCATTGATATGAATCTAATGATGCATTCAATAATTTAAGAGGAATTGGAGAATTTGCATAAAAAATGGTTAAGACTAAAAAAATTGATATTTATCCTTTTGATGTTTTAGCTTATAAAGATTGTTATGATATTACTAATTGTTAGAACAATGATTGAACAAGTATTCTTTGCTATGAAATTACAAAGAATCGTTTACGCAATCGTATGAAAGACTCTTAGAATGATTGTTTAATTACTTATATTGATAAAGAAGTGATGTATAGCGATTTCAAAATATGACGACTCGAAGAGAGAAATTGTAGATGTAATGGAAGAAAATTATGAAAATCATGTGTTTTTCATTGTAACTTTTTAGTTACACAATATATCTTTTTTTATTCAACAAGTCTAAAAAAAAAAGTTTATAAAACCGTTGATATCGGTCTCAAGCCCGAATGAAAATGGTTGAAAGTTTTTCAGTATTAATTTATGCCCCCACATACAAAATATTCTGGCTCTTCCACTCATAAGACAAATATACATTGTTAGATAAATGTCAATACGTGCGGCTGCTAACAATATTCATGTTTGTCATAAACTTAAAGATGATGCATGCTATCATTACAAAATAACGACATCAATACAACGACTTTTACTAAACTTATTGACCTCTAACCACTAAGTTCATCTTCTCAAAATAGAATAAAATCACAAATAAAAAATATATAATTTCCGGCGTCTCAAGACTTCTCTAATTTCTACCATGGAAATTTCCAACTATATTTACATACCGTCTAAATATCTTTCTCAATAAATAAATAAATGATCCATTTATAATCCATGAGTAAATAATCCTCATGAATTTTTTTCTTACAATTCCTATAAAATTTTTATATTTCTTATTATTTTTTATTCTTAAAGGATGTTAATTAAGACAATAATTAATAGATTACAACTTGTTTTTTGCTGTCAAGATAGGGGGATTGTATTAAGTTTTACATTCAAATGCTTAAGATGCAATTAGATGAATCTAAGTATATAATCAGGCCTATGAACTGCTAAGTATTCCAACACCCAGAAGTCAACTATACTATATCTATATATTAATTAAGATAGCCGTCGGAAGGTTTCCATGTACCTTCCGAACAGCTCCGCGTTGACGCGACAATCTATGACTTTTGCATTGTTGACTTGCATTTTAACTAATTGATGAGCAACTTGTCCACTTGAAGAGGAATTTTTAAAAAGGACATTGGCTAGCGCTTAAATTAGAAAAAAAAATCATAAAAAAGAAAAAAAAAAGCTGCACGTTTATCGAAATTATGTTTCATGACAAAATTTTAGGAAAATTTTAAGTTTTAAGATAACTATTCTTTGAAAAAATTTTAAAATTAAGCATGATTATAAAGTGTATTAAGAGTTTAAAAATATTTAAAAAAATTTAAAAATAGGCAAAATCACCTGTTTAATTACTGGAGACTTATGGTGACTAGGATTAGTTGAGTCAAATAGCCGTTATGCTGAGTTGACAAAGAATGAGAAATTCTACATATTGATAAGTCGCCCAGATAATGGGCGACTTATAAGTCACCCATTAGACGGGCGACATATCCCTATTATTAAAAAAAAAAAAAAGTTTTTGAGTAGTGTTTAAAAGGAAAAAAAAATTCTACAAGTGGTGTAAGAATAACATGTAAATCTAGTTTTTTCTGATTATAAGATTTGATATTAGATTTAATAATTCAAAGATATTAGATTTAACATTGATCAACTAATTATTATTTAAAAAAATTAGATTTTATAATAAAAAATATATTGAATCTTAAAAGATTGGCACCACAAATGTATGTATTAGTTATATATGCTAAAAATAATTTAAATAATAATTAGTATTGAATAGGTATGATTAGAGTTAATGAGTGTTTGATTATAAATATAAGAAAAAGTTTTAGATAGACTCACATGCATTTATTAGTCAAGTAAAAAAGATTCATAAATAAAATGTTAATAATTTAAATGATCCATAACATAAACATAATAAAATACATAAAATGATGAACTAGCGTCGCCTACATGGCCTCTGTGGCAATGCATCAGTGCATGCATGGAGTGTAATGCTGTGGAGATTGTCGTGGCCTTTGATTTTCCTCCACATCAACTTCTTCCTCAACTTTGTCATCTATATGAATGGAGCTTGGTACAAAATCTGGGTTGAGCTATACATCTAAATCCTTTAATTAAGTCGTTAGGAATTGAGAATTCATCCTCCATTATCGTCGCATCATAAGCATCATCAAAGTCAACTTTGCGGTCTCATTGTTGTGTAGTCCTACAGGTCTCATAGTAGTTATTATTTTCCACCATTGTATCCTCGATCACTACCGACTGATCTAGAGCAGTAATCTTGGATGACATTTCTTATCTACTCATTATCAACTGCAACTCCATCATTAAACACTGGTAAAAAATCAACACACCTTCATCATCAGAGCACTGCTCATTAGAGCCACTACTCATAGTATTATAATCGCAATGATCTAAAGGAACTAATTGTGTAGACGGTACTGGAGGTTCCTGCATTTGTTGGTTCTTTATATCACTACATTGAAAATATTATTTATCATTTATTAATCAATAATACAAATTTTTACATAACTATTAGTGATATGTGATATAGAGAACTCACTAATGAAGGGCATCTTCTACTGCTTCTACCCTTGAAGAACTAGCGACTACATCAACCCTTTCAACTTGAGTTGAAGTTGTATATCTTTGTGAATTTGGATGCTCAGTATTATCTTCAGTCACATTAATCTCTTCGACATCAACATACATGATGAGAAATTCTATTTTCGCCTGGCATGATAGAACTTCACAAACATCATCATCTTCAACATGTGAAGCATTAAACTCATTTCCTACAGGCACTCAACATAATAAGTTCACAAAAAACTTTGTAGGATCATGCTTGAGTGCTCTAAGTATCCTTAATCTAAGCTGTTCTAAGTTTATATTTATTGGCACATATAAGGGACGATTGCTATACCCCCATAATAATTTGGTGCGAATTTGTCATCCACTTGTAACTCACCCCCATATAGTAGCATGAAGGTTGCACAGCGTCTACTCATTACTGAACTCGTACATTTCTCTAAAAAAGATGAACAAATAACAAAGTCTAATTAATATACGTTTATTTTAATTTACATTAATTCTAAATTCTAAACCTAAGTTATAAATATTATAACTAATATTTACATGGGAACATCGTGACGAAATACTACATTAATTCAATTATGACATAAACATATTTAAATGATTAGTATAATATGAAAAAATTTAATATCCTATAAATTACTTCTATTTATCTCTCTACCAAATAATGACTCCAAATAAAAACTAAAATTTTAAATTTTAAATTACTTCTAATTATCTCTCTACTTAACATAACCTCAATTATTTTGAAACTAACACCTATTAAAAATTTCATCTCAAAATTCATTCGAACTAACATACATATAACTTCAAAATAATTAAAATTATTACAACAAATAATAATTAAACAAATTAAAACAAAATTTTAAGAATTTAACTCTTTCCAAACATATGTAAAACTAACCCAAATATTTACTTGAACATACATTAACTTAAAAAATATAATGATAGCTTAATAAAAAAAATATGAAAATATTCAAAAAAATTTGTATCCAAACTTCATCTTCTCCATCCCAAAAGAAAAAAAAAACACGTATATTTACCACACAAATTGTCACTTTAAATATGTAAGTCAACCCTAAATCATAGATATACAAAATATTTGCAACATTCACATCCTAAATGCATAAATCTCTACTTATCGCAAACAAATTTTGAAATTACTTCAACAAATAAAGATATTTACATTAAAAATTAGAGAAACAGTCTGCAAAACATAAATCTTTATTTCTCTAAGCAAAATAAACACTAATCAACATATATTTAACTTAATTAATATAAAAAACTTAAATAAATACTTATCTTACCTTCAGCCGGCGAAGAACCGAAGCGTCTGTGAAATACAACAACTGGTAAGGCGAGGGAGAGGAATGGATTGGAAAAGGGAAAATTTAAAATTTTATTTAAGGATAAGTCCCTCATTTAACGAGCGACTTACGGGCGATTTATAAGTCGCCCTTTTAACGGGCGACTAACGTCAAGTCATCTAATTGCCACATCATCTGCCACGTTCTTCTTGGGATTAGACATAAGTCGCCTTTCAAATGAGCGACTTTGCCTATTTTTAAATTCTATCAAACATCATGCTTAATCATATAATTAACTTGCTAATTATGTTTACTTTGAAAAATTGCCCCCATTTTTTTTGTTTTCTTTTATTTATTTAGTGCTGTTTTAAACGGCTGGAGTAAACAAAATGTTATTTTTGGTTTATTTATTCTTTCAAATTATATAAATAAAGGATATTAGGGGTTTTCAGGTCATATAATTTTAATATTAAAATTTAAAAATAGTAGATTAAATTGTTTTAAATTTAAATTAAATTGGTTTACTAAATTTAATATTGAGTTTAATTATATTAAATATTTTTTAAAATAATTTTTTACTCAAGTAATATTAACATACTTAGTTAGAAGTAGAACATTACTGTTATTTGTAAAAGATATATTTTTTGTATGTTACTATTTAAAATATATTATAAAATTAATAAAATAATTTTTTTATTTTAATTTGTTATAGAAGATAATGTCAATTTTGCATTAGGCTCAAATTTTAAAATATTTTTAGGTATATGAACTTATGTAATATCGAAATAATCTAAAAAGGATCTCAATGAGTTTAACTCCATGTTACAAATTAGTAATTATTTGCAGACAAAACGCAATTATTAGTTATAAAATTTAGTAATTGTTAAAAATTCTAATTAATTAATTTCTGTAACTGACATATGAAATCTCCAAAAATATTCTAAAATACAATACATTAATTAATTCATCACCTCTGCATCTCCAAAGACCACAAAATATGCTGGTCTAAACTCTCATCTCCAGTTGCCGAAGCAGGAAAATACCTCGTCTCCTCCGTCGGCGACTCCGTCTCCAACGACACCACTCTTGTAAACCGACTCGAATAAAATCTCGTTGACTGCGACAACTCTTCCATTGTTTCATTACTCTCTACTCCTCTCAACAACCTATGCTCCTCCTCCTCCCCGTCCTCCTCGGCCGCCGCCGCTGCCGACAACGACGCTGCTGTTGCCCGCACATCATTGTTTACCGGCCTCCGAACTCTCTCGATCTCCGCAGACACCTCTCTCATTGTCGGCCTCTCTTCTCCCTTCAGCTTCAAACACCTTCTGGCGAGCTCCGCAATGGCTTCGACATGTTCTCTTTTCCCCTCATTCTTCACTCTCTGTTCAAGGATCTCCTGCAATTTCCCGTCATTCATTTTTAAAAGAAAATATATCGCTAAATTCATCTCCGACTGCGGTCTTTCGTTGGAAAGCGGCCTCTGACCGGTAATCATTTCGGCGAGGATGACGCCGAAGCTGTAGACGTCGCTTTTTTCTGTTAGCTGACCTGTGTGAAAGTATTCTGGGTCGAGATATCCGAGCGTGCCGATTACCAATGTGGTTATCTGTGCGCGGTCGAGTGGTATAAGCCTCGATGCGCCGAAGTCCGACACCTACATATCAAAAATCAGATTTTTTTTATTGAATTGATTAAAATTTTAAAACTTGAAAAAAAATAATAATTAAAAACCTTAGCCATGTAGTTATTGTCCAGCAAGATATTAGCCGCCTTGACATCCCGATGAAAAATCGGCCGCGCAATGGCCGAGTGAAGATACGCCAAAGCCCCCGCCGTCTCTCCGGCGATCCTCAGCCTCTCCACCCATGGCAGCGAACCCACCCGTCCATGAAGGTGAGAATCCAAAGTCCCATTAGGAACATATTCATAGACTAAAAGAGGCACCTGCGTCTCCAAGCAACAGCCGAGAATCCGAACCACGTTCTTATGTATAACTTGAGATAGAAGCACGACCTCGTTAATAAACTGTTCGATCTGCGTGGCTTCCACAAGATGCGATTTTTTTATGGCGACGACTCGGCCGGTGTCGTGTAATATGCCTTTGTAGACAGTGCCGTTGCCGCCGTGGCCGAGAATGCGGCTATCGGCGTAGTTATCTGTGGCGCGTTTCAGCTCTTCGGCGGTGAAGATGCGGGCCGTTTCGGCGAGGCCTTCGTGAGCGGATAGCTGTTGTTGAAGGAGAAGGCCACCGTTTTGTCTGAAGAACTTTTCTTTGAGATGGAGCATTCTTCGCTTTTTTAGAAGATAGTATAGAATGAAGAAGGCGAGGAGGAGCAAGAGCAAGCCCAGCCCACAGCCTACGTCAAAATAAAAAACGTAAATATTTAAAAAATGCATATTAGCAGCTATTTTTTTCAATAAATAATAAAAGTATCACGAAAATGATAAAATTTACCCAAAAAAGACGAGGGTTTTTAGGCTTTGCCTCAAATTTGTTTCAGAAGACCGTTTTCAGAAGGAAAAATTAAATATGATTTATTTATTAATTTGGTCACATTAGAACTTTTGGGCCTTAATTTTCAATATTAATTGAATATGACTGCTTACAATTTCAATTTACATACCAAAAACACAAAGCTTTCAATTCAGTTGTCATATTTTTACTTATAAGACCAGCATGATGATGAAAAAGATTAACGATTGACTCCGTGCATTTTAAAATAATTAATTTTCTTTTAATTACCTTGTGCTAATTAATTAAGATAAATTGTTAAAAAAAGAAATTTATGGCATAATTTTTGGAGATTAATTGAATTTCATAATTTCAAATTGTTTTACAATTAATTTAAGAAAATAAACTATATATAATTCAATGTATAATTGCAGTCAACTTTTACCACTTCATTTATTCTATTTTGCGAAAATCCCATAATGGTCTTCTAAGAGAAGCATAATTCAGAAAAAAAAAAAAAAACTTCAAATTTTACCTGCGACCACTTGAACGAAAGGAAACTTGGTCGTCTGCTTGTTACAGCCGCTTCCACTCTTCTTTCCATCTCCAGTATATCCGTGCGGGCAAGAGCAAACAAAGCTCCCTTGCGTGTTCTCGCATATATCCGAGCAAGGATTTGTATCCGCATCCTCGCACTCATTTATATCTGGAAATTGTCAGCTCAGCCTCCACAATCAACTTTATTTTCAATGACGAAAAAAATTATATGCGTACCTTGGCAGCCATTAGCGAGGTAAGGATTGCCGGCATACCCACTCAGACAGCCACAACGATACCCCGCAGCGCTAGTAGAATTACTACAGTAAGTATTGGCTCCACACAAATAGCTCGCCGAGTTGGTCGCCGCTGCTTCACACGTCTCATTATTTCCCACCGCCCAATCAAGCACCGCCGGCACCCGATCCCTCATATAAAAATCCTCCAAATCCGACTCCTTGAACACATACTGATCCTGATCTACAAGAAAGGCGTAGCTACAGGGACTAAAACTCCAGGTGTTGCTGTGGTTCTTAACTATTTGTAAAATGGTCTCGATTCTCTGTAGGCCGCGCGGGATGGCCGTCTGGCAACAGCCGATGCCAGAGCACGTACCGTTTATAACGCTGCTTAGTTCGTTGCAGAAGGAAACGCAGCCGGTGGTGTAATAGAGATCGGATTGTCCTTTACGGTAGTTGAGGGCGAGAGTGCCGCAGCCGAGCGCGGTGAATTTATTGCGGGTGTTGGAGATGGCGTAGGGAAGGCCGGTTATGTCGAGCCAGATGGTTGGGATGTTCGGTGCAAGGGCAAGAGGGGTATAGCAGTCGCGGGCGATGAGGGTGAGGATTGTAGCGGTGGAGGCGGTGAGGGAAAGGGAGGTCAGTTGGATGTTTCCTGTGCTGATGAAAGTGCGGGGCGGGGAGAAAGTGGTGTTGCAGGTTAGGAGGAATCCGGGAAGGTGGCAGCCGGGCTGGGTGCCGAAGGGGAAGGGTATGGTGAGGTTGCCGCAGTGGGTGGGGCAGCCGGGGAGAGTGGTGGCGGCGGTGGCGGTGGCTGGGAGGGTGAAGAGGAGGTGAAGGAGAAGGAAGGGAATTGTCATTTTGATGCGGGCGGCTGTGAATTGGAGGGGATACCGTGAGGATTGGAGATCTGAAGCTTAAACTGGAGGGAAAGACTTCGCTTTGGTGGGCCGGCGGGTGTGAAGTGTGGACTGTTTGGGGATTGGGTTGATCTGAAGGCCCCATCAAGATATTACTCGCCCCTTCCCACCATAATAAAGGGACCCCAAATCGGCTTTTTGCACTATGCCAGCTCATTCTCTTGACCATACTCCGACGATACTCTACCCTTCTCATGTCAATGGGACGATTCCAAACCAGCTTCCAGCCATCGTCAACAGGTTTCCATAAGTTCACTCGACTCGCCCTCCTCAATCATTATTCCACTCCGCATTAATGGTCGAACTACAATAAAGACTGATGGAATGTAGAAAGAGGTGGTCAGGGCGACGGCCCTTTGGACCGGCGAAGCAGGAAGATGACGGAACAGGGAAGAGACCAGAGAAAACAATTGTTGTATTTTCATTAATTCTAACATATCTATTACAGGGTATATGTAATGGTGAAGAATAAAGAAAGTACATTGCTAAACAACGGTATACTTTTAATAACCACTAATGGCTTTACACGTGTAATGCTGTTAACATCCCCCTTCAAACTTGTGGCTCTGTGGTTGCTGTAAGTTTGCTAGATAAGAGTTTGAATCTGGGATTTGATAGTGCCTTAGTGAAGAGATCTGCTAGTTGGTCCGTTGTGCATATGTGGTGAACGGATATATGATGTTTCTTGATGCAATCCCTGATAAAGTGGCAGTCGACTTCTATGTGTTTGGTACGTGCGTGAAAAACTGGGTTGTTGGCGAGGGCTATTGCCGACGTGTTGTCACAATAAACGGTGGTCGGGGTAATTTGCGGTATGTGAAGATCTTCGAGTAGTCTTCGGAGCCATAGGATTTCTGCTGCTTCGGATGCCAAGGCCCTGTATTCGGCTTCAGTGGAAGATCGCGCGATGGTGCTTTGCTTCTTGACTTGCCACGAAATGGGAGATGTTCCGAGAAAGTTGCAAAAGCCGGATATGGATGACCGGTCCTGTTGATTGCTTGCCCAATCTGCATCGACGTACCCGGTTAGTAAAAGAGAATTACGAGATAGCGGGATACCTGTTTGGGTGGTGCCGTGAATGTATCTGATAAGTCGTTTGAGTGCTTCTTGATGTAGGTTCAGCGGGTTCTGCATGTGTTGGCACAATTGTTGGACGGCGAACTGGATGTCCGGTCTCGTGAGTGTAAGATATTGTAGCGAGCCAATGATTTGTCTGTATAGATGAGGGTTATCATACGGTTCTTGCGATTTTGTTGAAACAGTTGTTTTTGTTGAGAGTGGCGTGGAGACGGGTTTTGATTGAGTCATGCCGGCTCGATCTATAATTTTCTTTGCGTAGTTTGCTTGATGAAGGATGATGCCCGCCTCGGTTTGGAGAGTTTGGATGCCAAGGAATTGTGACAGAGAGCCGAGATTGCGCATCTGGAAATGAAAATGAAGATTAGAGAGGAGTTTATCTAATTCGGATGTAGAATTACCTGTTAGAAGAATATCGTCGACGTATATGAGGATGTAAAGTCGGGTGTTGCCGTTTTTGAAAGTGAGCAGTGAATGATCCGAGTTGCTGATGTTAAACCCGTAGGAAACCAGGTGATTAGATAGTGTAGAGTACCATTCGCGAGGTGATTGTTTCAATCCATATAAGGCTTTCTTCAAGCGACAGACGTAGTTCGGGTGAAGAGCATCGTGGAAGCCGGGCGGTTGATGCATATAGACAGTGTCGGAGAGGGTTCCGTGGAGGAAGGCGTTTGAAACGTCTAGCTGGTGAATGGTCCAATTGTGATGAAGTGCGAGGAGGATTAGAACTCGTATGGTTGGCATCTTGGCGACTGGACTAAAGGTTTCAGTGTAGTCGATGCCGTGTTCTTGGTTGAATCCTTTGGCGACGAGGCGAGCTTTGTGTCTTGCTATGCTTCCGTTGGAGTTGTACTTGATTCGGAAAGTCCATTTTGAGCCGAGCACGTTTTGAGAAGGATCGGGGGGAACTAGTTCCCAGGTGCCTTGTTGTTGGAGTGCTTGGAACTCAAGTGACATGGCTGCGCGCCATTCGGGTGATTTGGCTGCCTGACTGTAGGTGGTAGGCTCGGTTGGGTGCAGTAGGTGAGCAAGATCGAATATTTTAGTTGGTTTAGTGTGCCCGGATTGAAACCGTGTGACCATATGGTGCCTTTGAGGGGGTTGTGTTTGTTGTATTGGTGGAGTGGAATTTGGATTAGGAACGGTGGAGGGTGTAGAGTGAATTGGAGAATTTTGTTGAGATGAGATGGTAGTGTGAGAATAATGCTGATCTATAGGAGCGAGTGTGTGCTGTGAGCTTAGTCTGGGAGAGTTGCTGTGTTGTTGGAGATTATTGGAAGTGGTAGACGCCGGAATACTGGAGGTAGGGACCAGAAGAAGAGGTGGAGATATGGTTTGGGATGAAGCAGTGGAAGTAGGCGTGTGTGAATTGTTGGCAAAAGGAAATACCGATTCATTGAAAATGACGTGTGTAGAGGTGTAAATTTTGTTCGTGCGAGTGTCCAAGCAGCGGTACCCTTTTTGCGATAGTGCGTATCCAAGAAAAACGCAGGGATGTGAAACGGGAGAAAGTTTGTTCGTAGCGTAAGGTTTGAGCCAAGGGTAGCAAAGACAACCGAAAACGCGAAAAAGATTGTAATCAGGTTGTTTGCCGAAGAGAATTTCGTAGGGAGATTTGAATTGAGTGTTGGGAGATGGTAGACGGTTGATTAGGAAATTGGCCGTGAGCACGGTGTCTACCCAAAATTGATGCGGAAGGGAGGCTTGGTTAATGAGAGTTCGGGCAGTTTCGATGACGTGCCTGTGCTTGCGTTCAGCGACGCCGTTTTGTGTAGGAGTATAAGGACACGAGGATTGATGAATTATGCCGTTGAGACGACAGTAAGTTAGGAAGTTTTTGTTAAAATATTCGGTTCCGTTGTCAGATCGAATTGTGCGAATTTTTCGATTGAATTGACGATGTATAAGGTTTTGGAACTCGTTAAATTTAGTAAGAACTTCCGATTTGTTAATTATGGGAAAAATCCAGGTGAATTTCGAAAAGTCGTCGATGAAGGAGACGTAGAATCTAAATCCAGTATTAGAAGTAATAGGAAACGGACCCCAAACGTCCGAATGTACAAGGGAAAAAGGAGATTTAGTTACAGTTTGAGATGTGTATTTTGGTAATCTATGGCTTTTCACCATTTTACATGAATTACACATGAGACGAGAGTCTTTGATGTTGCTGTTGCGCTTGGATAGAATGGTTAGAGTAGCGGCTGATGGATGTCCCAATCTTCTGTGCCAAAGATCTTGGACGTGCTGGATGGAGAGAAGAGCTAGAGTGTCGGTGGGGATGACGGATCGGGCTGGACCACGGAAGGGGTAAAGTCCGTTAATAGATGGACCCGTGAGAAGACGGCGGTGGGTCTTCCGGTCCTGTATTTCGTAGCCATTGGGTGAGAAAATAATGATGCAGTCATTGTCTTCAGTTAATTTTTGCACGGAGATTATATTGAATGAAAGATTAGGTACAAGATTCAAATTCTTGAGTTGGAGACTACCTGTAGGTGTCGGTAGGATACCCTTACCGGTGTTGTGGATCGGTATTTGATGACCGTTGCCGAGGACGACTTGGCTTGATCCTGTATATGTGTGAGCTTGCTGAATCTGGTTAGGATCGGAGGTGAGGTGATTGGAAGCGCCACTGTCGAGATACCATTCGGAGGGGGTGGCGTTAGATGGTGAGGTAAAGAGAGCCGGAGATGGCTCGGTCGCGTAGCTGTCGTCGTGTCTGTACCAGCATTTAACGGCCGAGTGACCAAACTTGCCGCAAATCTGGCAAGTGATGGATGGTCTGGGCGGCTTGTTGCCGCGAGGTGGATTTGATTGTTGTGACTGTCGGTTCGGTGGTTTACTGCGTGGTTGCGATGATCGTCCACGACCGCGACCGCGGTTGGCGGTGAGAGCGGTTTGATTTCCACCGAGATGGAGAGTTTGTAGATCTTTGAGGTTTTCGTGCGCAATGTTTAGCTCTTCACTGCATAAGAGCGTATATAGCTCGTCAAGACTCACTGAGCGTAGATTCGTACGAATGGCCGTTTTAAAGGCTTGGTATGTGTTGGGAAGACCGTTCAGGGTGTAATGGATCACATCCTCCACGTCGACAGGGGATCCGGCGGCTGCAAGGGAGTCGACCGTGGCTTTGACGGCAAGAAGATATTGCGTCATTGTCTTTTCCTTCATAGATAATGAATGTAGTTCGTTCTTGAGATGAGCGATCCGAGATCTTGTGCAAGATTGTAGACGTGTTTCGAGAGTTTGCCAGATTTCGGAGCAATGGTTGACGGAAAGGACGTAAGGTAGTATGGATGGGGAAATGATGGCGTACAAAGCGGCGGCAAGATTTTGATCTATGAGGATCCAAGTGTTGTATGCTGGGTTAGAGGTTACTTGTCCTGAGGAGGAGGTGATTTGAGGAGGAGGAGGTGGTGTGGATCCGGTTAAGAATCCGTCGAATCCATTCGCACGAAATAGCTTAAGCACTTGAGAGCGCCATAGGGAATGGTTTTCGGCGGTAAGTGTTTGAGCTGTGACATTCTTGATGCTGTTCATCAAGAATTTTAGGGATGAGGGGATCTGTGGAGACGCGAAGTCGCCGGAGGCAGTGAAGGTATCTGCCGGAGATGGGGAAGAAGAAGTATCTGTGGAATTGGTGATGGACATTTTTGTGGAGGAGATAGATCTACAGGTTACCTGAAGCGACTGATACCATGTAGAAAGAGGTGGTCAGGGCGACGGCCCTTTGGACCGGCGAAGCAGGAAGATGACGGAACAGGGAAGAGACCAGAGAAAACAATTGTTGTATTTTCATTAATTCTAACATATCTATTACAGGGTATATGTAATGGTGAAGAATAAAGAAAGTACATTGCTAAACA